ATCCAAGCCCAAGCTTTTCTTCATTCAAGCCTGCCAAGGAAATGAGGGTCAGGATGGTGTATTGACAATGGATGCACCAGGAAAAGCTACAGAAGAAGACCCATATGAGGAAGATGCTTATAATCCTGCAGCCCGCTCTATTCCTATAGAATCTGATATGCTAATTGGAATGGCCACAGTAGAGCGCTACCAGTCCTACCGCCACACTAAAAACGGGTCTATCTATATCCAGGAGCTCTGTAATCAGTTGGAGAAATTCTGCCCCAGGTGAGTTCAAGAGGAGACTCTGTCATGTCTTGAATGAACGATGCATGTGGGTGGGTTTGTAGAAATTCATGTTCCAGTTCCATATGATGATTGCACATGACCATGTGATGCGGTAAGGATGGGTGAGTTTACTTTGCAGTTAACCGTTAGTTTCCACCAGTCAACCCATTGACCAGTTTGACCCATGTGTGCAGAATTTATTTTATACTACCATTCAAAAGTTTGGGGTCAGTTTTTTTTTTTTGATGATTTGATTAGGTGGGTCCATAGAGTTATTTTCTTGTCTGCTTTTTTGACAGAAAAGAGGATATCTTATCCATCCTGACAAAAGTAAACCGTGAAGTGAGTTTAAAAATGTTGAGGGGCCACAAGCAGATGCCTGAACCTCGATATACCCTCACCAAGAAGCTGGTCCTGCCCATGGACTGAAGCTTCTGCTTGACTTTTGTGTGACTGGATTCATGCTGGAGAAGTGAAAAGTCAAGCTTACTCGGACTCGATTAATCTTTCTCGGAGGATCAAGGCACTTTGGTACTAGATTCAAATTGATCTTGCTGTCTCTGTGAGTCTGATCTTAATTATTAAATAAGACTGAGTTAAAGTTTACTGCACTGAGTTCTGGTTGTTTGATCTTCTTTAGACAATGCAATTTAAAAGTAATATAACATTTATATTTGATACTGGGAACAAATATTTTTAAACTAATGTTAAGCATGATGATTTTATACCAGCAGTCTAAATAATTTAGTTTTGAATGCTGTTCAAATGCATATCGTTGCCATTAATGTCTTAATGGGAAATCTGAATGAACTAAAAACCCAGAGAGTTTGAAGTCTTTAAAGAAAACGCAATTGTAAGAAATCACTGATGTCTAGAAAAGAGTGAAATTAAATATTAAACATTGTTTAAAAAGTGTAATTTGTTATATTATTTCATTATTTTAGCATACAATGGCATAATGTTTTGCATCACAAAACACAAAATGTCCTTTTCCACCCTCTCTCTGACTCGGTTATGTGGACTTCTCCCATTATTGTTATTTTATTAAATTTTAACTGCAAAATGTTCTTCTGTTAAATGGAAATGCACGAGTACAAGAAACAAAAAAATTGTTCTTACAATAATGTTCAGTCAGTGCCACCTCTATTCTCAGACTCCCCATGCACCATGTTTAAAGAAAGGTCCTCAAACTGCCAAAATTCTTAGATTTATCTATTAAAATATGTTATCTTTTCCATTGACATATTATTTCTTTCAGCCAGCGTCCTATATTTGGTGCCCAAATACTTTTCCAATTTAAAAAATAAGCCATTTAGTTTGCAGGATACACACTTATAAATGTATATTTATATATTTAATTTATATATAAAAAAACTTGATCATCTTATATAGAATATAAATGAAATAAAGAATATAAATGAAATAAAATGTAAAGCCAATGGAAAATAACATCAAGGATCTTCTCTATCATTTCTTTCACATCTGTCTAAAACTTGTTGACTTCACACTCCCATACAGTATGCAATACTATAGCGTAGCTGTAAACTCACCGAATCTTAAGCAAGTATTATTTCTATTCTTAGATAGGTGATGGTGGCATATCAAGATGTTATTTTGTGGTTTGAATATGAAATTTCTTATTGTAGGGTCTTTTAAGAATTTTGTATGTATGGACTCAAATTACATAAGATTATTGTTAATGTATCAAGACTTTAATTAGCCTACCTTTGGGGCTTTTGACCTTATTCAGAATGTGTTCATTCCTAAACTTGTGTACCAAGAAATAAAAATTGTAGTGAATATCAACAGATGTTATTGTGCCTTGGAAACCTGTCTGAAACTATTTTCCCAGGAGGCTGGGATAATGCTGTTATTCACCGCCAGCCTTTGGTTTCTCTCAGAGCTGTTGTCATGCTATTCCTGAACTTTGAGGTCACCTTGTGCATGAACAATACAAGAGGCACTGAAGCTTTTATATTTAATAGAAACACAGGTCAGTCTGGGACCTTCAGTCATGATGAAAACCATCTAGGTTGCTGGTATACGGGCTGAACATCTTCAATATTAATCCACCCCCACATTACCTCAAAATCAGACTCTAGAGAAAGAAAAGAAGGAGAAAAGCATGTACTAAATGAACAATAATGTAATTAGTAGTCTTGGTAAGGTGTTTAACTGTGTTATGCATGAAAACCAACATTATTCCACCATGTTATAAAGCAGCTTTCCCCTGTGTTTATTAAGTGCATAAATCCAGAATGACACGTTGCCCCGTTCTTTCTTGGGGGCTGAAAAATATTGGTGGCAGCACACAGAGAGAGGAAGTTAGGTTCCCCCGACCTGCCATTTCTTTGGGAAACCTTCTGTTTGGCAAGTGAGGGCACCGAATGTTCCTGTGGACATCAAAGCTTTTTAGAGGTAGGCCTAATTGCAATTTTTGTTGTTGTTTTTGGTCAAAAACGTGTGGCGGTGTTGGTGACAAGACGTTAGGAAGCTGTTGGGACATGAATCTCCATACAGAATCTCCTTCTATATCTATTTCCTGCCATTTAAAATGAAACATAGGCCTACTTAGGGTGGTAAACACGACCCATTCTTCTAATATTAATAGGCTAACTGATATCTGATTTTGAAAGTTTAATTCTTCATTTGGTCCACAAACTCCGACAATCATGGATAGCCCTGGTTACACTCTTGCACACAGTTTGTTTTTTAAAGCAGCTTTCTAAAATTGTTATTTTTCTGATCTGTCATGGTTAAAGCTCTGACAGAATATTGGAAATGTACATGTCCTGAAGAAAAGTTATTTCAGATAATTATGCATTTACAAAAGCATATAAATATAGTTTTTATTTAACGAATTGCCCTATGCCATTTGTAAAACTTCTTGGTCCTTGAGTTCACATTGACGCTTTAGGGAAATAATCATTTTAATTAAAGAAAGATAGGCTACGTTATGTTTGTATTTTTAAAAAAGTGTTTTCCAATCAAGTAATTGTTTACCAGTATGTTCTTAGTTGTTTCAGAGCATTTATTATATTCTTTACGACTGCCATTTCGACGGCCTTTCGAAGCAGTGTTGCCAACTAATTTTCAGGGGAAGTCGCTAAAGGAAGTTCGATTTGTTGCTAAATGACGTTGTGACGTCATTGCGTGATGACGTCATTACGTTATCACGACGCAAAATTGTGTCACTTCATTAAAAAATATATATATTTTTATGTTCATTTAGATTTGTTCGTAAAATAATATTCCGTTCATTATCTGACAGGCTAGACTAATCGATTCTTGGGATTTATGAATCGATATCGTTTCATAAAGATGGGAATCGATTAAAATCGAGAAATCGATATTTTCTATGTATGCTTCTTTTTTAGACAGGACAACATCATATTGGGAATGGGACTGTGACTGCATCTCTACAGTCCTCATACTTTATATGTTCACGTATTTGCATTGCTTTCACCGATCTTTGTAGATCCCAGCTTCTCACCAAGCCATGATTGGTCTATTATGTACAGTGCTTGCACGCTACTTTTCAGTCATAACCTTCAGCAAATATGAAAACAATGGCTGCATCTGAAATTGCATACTTTCCTACAATATAGTAGGTGAAAAACAGTATGTCCGAATTCACAGTACTTATAAAAGTGTATTCCTGGATGATCATTCTTGGTGCTTGCTGAAGTACTGTATGTCATCATCTTGTTCAGCTTGTGTGGATGCTCATTGACTGCAGCCGATTGTGAAGCTCTGGCTCAGATGCTCTCTGGAGCAGTGTTGCCAACTAATTTTCAGGGGAAGTTGCTAAAGGAAGTTCGATTTGTTGCTAAATGACGTTGTGATGTCATTGCGTGATGACGTCATTACGTTATCACGACGCAAAATTGTGTCACTACATTAAAAAAAATATATATTTTTATGTTCATTTAGATTTGTTCGTAAAATAATATAAATGCATAATATAATGTTAAAATATAAATAACTTTTTTATATACAACATTGAATTATTGAACACTTACACATTTTTGAACGATTACAAGTTTTTTTTATTAGCTAGTAAACTAGTAAAACTACACATTCTGAACAATTATAGTTTTAAGCAGTGTATTAGTAGTCAGTATGCTACACTCTAAGAAAAGAATTCACAGGTTTTTACCTGCATTTTAAATTACGCATTGTATTTTGTGTTTCGGGTTACAACGGATGATGGATAACGGACAATGTCCTGGAAAATTACTAGTACCTTTTCCATTTTTATAGATATTTTTCTTAGTGTACTAACTGATCAACAATCACAGGTACAAGCTGCTAACGAGGTGTATCATAAATGAACAATTATTAACTTATTATTATTATCATCAAATTGAACAATTGCAAATAGCAGTAACTTAATTCACGTGATGTGTGTACTGCTAGGCATCTTTGGTTTCCTCTTTTTGTGAAATTTAGATGGAAAATGTGTGCCTTTTTATTGTTTGAGCCACTTATCAAAAGTTGCTAAAAGTAGCCAAATAAAATTTAAAAATAGCAAAATTTGTTGCTAGGTGCTTTTGGAAGAAAAAGTTGCTATGGGTAGTCTGAAAAGTTGCTAAATTTAGCAACAAAATTGCTAAATTGGCAACACTGCTTCGAAGGGCAGAGATTGGGAATCTCAGACTCAGAGCGCGAGGAATCTCAGATTATCCTCCCTCCCTCTCTCTCTCTCTCCTTCTCTCCCTCTCTCTCTCTCTCCTTCTCTCCCTCCCTCTCTCTCCGCAATCCACTCGGTCAGTCAACTGGTTTAAATATCCGTGTCCACAGACCCGGCAACATCAAAATATTTCCTTTAGACTGGTCTGCTTTGTTTTTTAAACCATTGTAGGTTTTTGGCTGAGGTGAGTGTTTACTGTTTGCTCATTAAAGTTTTTGCGCCTGTGCACAAAAGCGCGCGAATAGCAAAACTTCCTGTTTTCTCCACGCACGCCGCACTGTGAACTAAATAATGCACCAAACATTTAAAATTCTACAAGTTCTAAATTTGATGCATGATTTCGTTGATATACAAACATGTAATGTTTCTGTTGTTATTACAGATGGGTAAAATTGGTACTGGCAGCAACAAAAATCGGACAAGTCGGAGTAACAAGAATGAGCAGAAGGTCAAAGCATCAAATGGATCAAAGAGAAAGAAGGCTGTTAGGAGGAATTCACAAGCAAGTATTTCATTTTATTCAGACAGTGAAAGTGATGTGAGGTGCCATAGCCTACTTGGAATTTGTACTCTGCGAGTGTTAAAGTGATAGTTCACCCAAAAATGAAAATTTGATGTTTATCTGCTTACCCCCAGGGCATCCAAGATGTAGGTGACTTTGTTTCTTCAGTAGAACACATTTGATGATTTTTAAGTCCAGCCGTTGCAGTCTATCAGTCGTATAATGCATGGCAATGGTAACAAAATCTATGAGAGTAAAAAAAACATGCACAGACAAATCCATGTCGTGGAACAAACTATGATCTTCTCAAATTTGTCAATAAAGCTCAAGAAGCAGAGTTCCAGATGTCAAAATAAGACTTTATTGTCACAGCAACAAAGCCGAGATGACGGCCGCCGCATCTGAGTCTTTGTCTGTCAGCTCATCCGTTTTATACCTTTTTCTCTTACCAAAGTTGGTAGTTCCGGTTTTTTATTGGTTATGCCTGTCTGGTTTGCCACAATTTATTACTAGCACACCTGGTCCATCTTTTAATGGTGGAATTTGGCCAAATCAACCATTTTTTTAAAAAACTTTCACTTTGCCGCCTCCCATTGGTTGGCGGTGGTCCCATGGGACATCAATCAAATCTATTTACTTCGTTACTGTCAACTTCTGGAAATCACCCAGAGTTCATTGGGTTAGCCTGTCAACATTTCATGTGGTGTCAAGTTTGTTATTCTATTGGTTTGCATACGGTAGCTCATTAATGCAAGAGGCAAAGCATCTACCCAATTCAACTTGGTATCAGCACAAATCTTATTCAATTTTGCCTTAATAGTCCCGTTAACCCGTTCCACCATCCCTTGCGATTGTGGATGGTAAATGCAGCCGAGCCTTTGTTTTATCCTCAATTGTTGTATAACTGTCTTTACTGTTCTTTGAATAAAAGCTGATCCATTGTCTGAGCTAATTTGGGATGGTATTCCAAACCTGGGAATTACTTCTCTTGTTAAGAATTTAATCACTGTTTGGGCTCCTTGATCTGCTGATGGAACTGCTTCCACCCATCTACTGAATCTGTCAATTATTACCAACAAGTATCTCTTTCCTCTGACAGTTCTTATCATATCTGCATAATCCATTACTAAATGTTTGAATGGACCTTCTGGGACTGGTATATGGCCAATTGGAGCAGATGTCCCTTTTCTAACGTTATTTTGGGCACACACTTCACATTCAGATAGATACTCATCCACCATTGCTTGTAAATAAGGCGACCAATAACCCTGCCGCTTTATTTTTCTAATCACTTCCCCCCTCGCGCAATGGTCAAAACCATGCGCGTCAGAGATTAGGATTGTAAGCGATGGTGTAGGAGCAATCATGTGGCCTTCGTGTGAGCACCAAAGCCCATTTGCATTTCGTGTTGATCCCCTTTGTTGCCATACACTAATTGCATATGGTGTAGCTTGATGTTGCATTCATGCAACATTAATTGTGGTTGAGGTTAAATCAGAAAAGAGGGAGCCATTATTGCTGTTTCACAGCAATATAAATGAGGCATTTCTAGAATATTTATTTACTGCAGTACTGTCTTGTATCATTGCTCTCTTGGTTAGCTGGATTGATTTGTATATGTTTGAAACATACATATAGAATGGTTTGTCATACGTGGGCATGGTCAAGACAAGAGCATTCTGTAACTCTTTTTTTCAATTATTCAAATGCTATTAATGCATCAGTAGTCCTTATCATTTCATCCCATGTGAAATTGTGCGTCTTAAGTATTCAACTTGTGGTAGGCAATATTGCAGTTTTTCTTTAGAAGCCCTGTGTCCCCCCTCAGCCAATTTAGTTAGCACTTTAATTGAGTCTTGGTGACATTGTTTCAAAGTTGTTGAAGAAATCAATAAAGTATTAATGTACTGTCCATCCTCAGATCTCCATGGTCTTCTTTTAGAACTTGATTAAACACGTGGTGAGTGTTTGAAGCCTTGCAGCATTCTCATGTAAGTAAGCTTTTTACCTTGGTAGGTGAATGCAAACAAAAGTCTACTTTCTTCTGCTAAGGGAACGCTGAAAAAGGCAGAGCAAAGATCAATTACAGTATAGTAATTAGCAGCAGATGGAACATTGGTTAGCAACGTATGTTGATTTGGAACTTCAGCAGGCCAATCCTCAACAACCTCATTCACTGCTCTCAAGTCATGCACCAAACACCATTTTGATTTATCTGCTTTAGCCACTGGCAATATTAGGATATTACAAATAGATTTGCTGATTTTTCCCATCCTATGTCTGTGTCATGCTTAGTCCATAGTTCAGGTGGCACTTGTGTTTTTTTTCTTTCTTTGTCTCATTTCAGCAATTCAGTTTGACGTGCCCTAACCCTTTTTTTTTTTCTCAATCATTTTTGGGAGACCTGTTATTAGGGTAGCACACAAAATTTAGGAATTTGTTAGTAAATCTTTGGAAACACATCCTGTGTTTGCATATAAAGCTAAATGGGGGTCTGAATTTAGCACCTCAAATTTTTTATGAATTCTTTCTTATCTTTCTGCAAGGCTGCAGCTTTTGGCCCTACTATTATGTACTGTGAGATTATGATGATGTTTAACCCTTCTCTGTCTGTTAGCCAGCTTTTTCAAAACTTTATTCCTTACTTTGATTATACTTAATTGTGCAGTCAAACTCAGTTTTTAGCAGTTTTTTTTTTTTTCCTGCATCAGATGATATCATTGGAAGCTGATTCCTCCCCGTAGTAGACTGCAACGGCTGGACTTAAAAATCATAATTTGTGTTCTACTGAAGAAACAAAGTCACCTACATCTTGGATGCCCTGGGGGTAAGCAGATAAACATCAAATTTTCATTTTTGGGTGAACTATCCCTTTAACACGCATCTGGAGCAGTGAGCAGCCATTTGATGCCAACGCCCAGGGAACAATTGGAGGTTAGGTGCCTTGCTCAAGGGCACCACAGTTAGGGGTAATGTGGGTGGAAGAGAGCACCGTTCATTCTCATTTCCTGAGACTCGAACCCATGACCCTTCAGGTCTGACTCTGACCATTAGGCCACAACTACCTCCGACAGACTAAAATGTACTGTTATTTAGATTAGATAGATGCTTTTTGAAAATTATATTTCTGAGCCATTTTTATATTATTAAAAGCATTTTTATGTCATGTAGGAAGACAAAGAAAACCTTCCTGAATGTGTTCAAAAGACAAATGTACATAAAAGAAAGCGGGAGCCCCTTCAACCAACTGGCAGTATTTCTGATCATTACCCTAAAAAAGCGTGTGGGTAAGTCGTTTACAAGCTGTTAGGTTAATAAACCAAAATATTAGTCAAGCCTACCCTTCTCCTAACATGTCCTTATTTTCACAGTTGCAACACAGAAGGAATTTTATTCCATGTCAAATAGGCCTCTTGGATATTGTTTGATTATCAACAATTATAACTTTGAGAGAACGTCACTTGGAAACCGGAGAGGGACAGATAAAGATAAAGGTATTTTTGTGAATTTGAGGGACTAGAATTTATAAAAATTTTTTAGATATGTACTTTAATATAATCTGCTATTGGATTAGTCAAATATGGCTTTGTGCATTTTCCTTTGTCTTCTAGATGATCTCACCAGAGTGTTTGAGAACATGTTTTTCAAAGTTGAGGTGCAGGATGATTTGCAAGCGTCAGATATGCAGAATGTGATAAAGGAGCTTGCAGAGAGGGATCACTCTCAGATGGATGCTTTTGTCTGCTGCATCCTGTCCCATGGAGAAAAAGGCTCTGTTCTGGGAATAGATGGAAAACCAGTTCCGATCCGTGAACTCACACAGCCTTTTGCTGAATGCCACACTCTAGTTAACAAGCCGAAGCTTTTCTTCATTCAAGCCTGTCAGGGTAATGAGGCCCAGCAAGGTGTGTGGATGGCAGATGGACAGGAGAACACCAGAGAAGAAGGAACATTTGAGAAGGTTTCTCATACTGCAGCAACGCACGGTGTCCCTAAAGATGCTGATTTTCTCATTGGAATAGCAACGGTGGAGCACTACAAATCTTTCCGCTGCACAAAACATGGGTCCATCTATATCCAGGAACTCTGCAAACAGCTGGAAAGTGGCCTTCACTGGTGAGTTGTGGTCTTGATTTAGAGAAGGTTTTGATTTTGAAGCTTATGGTAGAATTAAAGACCCTATTTGCATTCGATGTTCAGAAGAGTTCACCCAAAAATTTTATTTTGCTGAATATTTACTCACCCTCAGACCATCCAAGATGTAGGAAAGCATGCTTAGAAATATAGCATTACATCACTTGTTCACCAATGGATCCTCTGCTGTGAATGGGTGTCGTCTGAATGAGAGTCCAGTAAAAAAAACCTTACAGTAAAAAAGACCATCCCCTGTTGTCCTTTCACATCAAAATATTTTGTCAAGTGTTTCTGCATGTAAATGGTGCTTGATCTGTGCATATGTCTCTCCTGATTCAGACGAGATAACTTTTTCACAATGGATTTTAGTCAGATGTAACAGTTTGAAGTTAAAAACATTTTTTACAAACACACAGCTTTTCGCTTCACAAGACGTTAATGAGCTGAATTCATGATTACTTGTAGATTGTGATATTTTTATCAGCTGTTTGAACTCATTCTGACAGCACGCAGAGGATCCAATGGTGAGCAAGTGATGTAACGCTACATTTCTGCAAATCTTTTCTGTTCCGATGAAAAAAAAACTTCATCTACATCTTGGTTGGCCTGAGGGTGTGTACATTTTGAACAAATTTTAATTTTTGGATGTGGTTTATGTGGTTTAAAGTAAAAAAAACCATATTATTTTCCACATACTGTACATTATTGTTTCTCATCTATGCCCAGCCTTTTTGAAACGCGTCGATTTTTACAAAGCTCATCGGTCTGAAAGAACGAGGT